GTGTTTGGCAGCAAGGTCGACGTGGGGCACGTGCGGGCAGCAGACAGCTGGAGGGCACCGGGTGCCTCCCAACTCTTCCCTCCAGGGCTGCAGTGGTGCCTGGTCATGGGCAGGATGGGCACAGCACCTGGCACAGCTCCAGGGCTTGCTGCTGCAGGGATGTGGCTGCTGTGAGATGCTCCTGCATCCCTCAACACCGGCAGTGCATCCCTGCTCCGGCAGCGGCTCGGGGCCGTGGCCCCTCTTATGGACACAAAGGTGGTTTTATTCCCGTGATCCCAGTGTGATTGGAGCTGAGCAAGGGAGGTGTTCCAGGCTGCTCTGTCTTGGCTGAAAACCCTCTTAACTCTGAGGAGCAGCAGCTCCTTTTTGATGTGCCTCCCGCTGCAAACCCGTGTCGTCTCCTCACTGCTTCAGGCTTAGCTTGGACTGTGGTAGTGTGGGAGGGACCCAGTCTGAGCCCCCCATGCCTGTCTCATCCAGACCCCCCCGTGCCTGTCTCATCCAGAACCCCCTGTGCCTGTCTCACACCAGCAGGGAGGCAAAGCTGGCTCTGCCAAGAAGGAAAATCACATCCAGCACTGGGTTTTCTGCATGGCAAAGGAGAGGGCTGGAATTAGCAGCCCCAGTGGCCATAGGGCACCATGTCCGAGTCCCTCACTGACCCAGCTCACTTTTACTGCCTGAGAATCCTGTGGAACTGGGGAACTGGCAGCTTGGAGGGGAGGGCTGGGGCTGGGAACTACTGTGGCCCCACTGGGCTCCCCGGGATGGATCGGGGCTGTGGCCGGGATGGATGGAGACGTGTGTGGGGCAGGGGCTGCCCTGGGGTGGCACTGTGGGACGTGTGGGTCCTCACCATCATCCTGGTGTTGCACCTGCCCTTGGGAAAGAGCAGCACTTGGAGAAGGTGCTGTGTGGGTGGGGAGAAGGAACACCAGGTGGGACAGGAATGGGGGCCCAGGCTGGGGGACTGGAGGGACGATGCTCTCCAACGTGCTGCAGCACTGGAGCACCGTGAGCTCACAGGTCCAAGAGCATCACCCTCAGCTGACCCTCCAAAAGCTGCACCACGACCCTGCTACCTTCCTGTGCCCCCAGCTCTGGTAGAAGAGTTTTCCACCGTTGCTCTCACAGCCTCGGAGCACCAAACCCCTCCTAAATAATTCAGGCAGGCGAGTGCCGTCCGCGGGGGGCCGCGGATAAACGCGGTAAATGACTGAGAAATGGAGCGTGTCCCTCGGGAGCCACCTCCTCAGCACCGTGAGCTCACAGGTCCAAGAGCATCACCCTCAGCTGACCCTCCAAAAGCTGTGCCACTACCCTGCTGCCTTCCCGTGCCCCCAGCTCTGGTAGAAGAGTTTTCCACCGTTGCTCTCACAGCCTCGGAGCACCAAACCCCTCCTAAATAATTCAGGCAGGCGAGTGCCCGTCCGCGGGGGCCGCGGATAAACGCGGTAAATGACTGAGAAATGGAGCGTGTCCCTCGGGAGCCACCTCCTCAGCGGGTGGCCGGGCCCCTCTCCTCCCTCCCGGCCCAGGTGGTGATTCCAGGCCGGCACAGGTAGAGGCGCCGGGGAGGAGGAGCCGGAGCAGAGCTGCCGAGTCCACTGGAGCATTGGGAATTGCATTTCACGGCTGGGCGGGCTGGGATACCAACCCGGCCCCGTGCGCCGGGCACTCGGAGAGGAGATAAGATTTGATTAAGAAGGCTGCTATTAATTTATGGCAAGTACACTCACGGCAGTGGAGAGGTTGCTTTTAATTAATAGCCAGAAGGAGAGTTTTAAAGCTCTCGGTCTCAGTGGGGGGAGAAGGGAGGGAGGGCAAAGCGGGGAAGGAAGGGAACAAAGTAAGTTGGGAGGATTAATGGTCACATCTGCAATTATAAGTCTTTTTCTTAGTAAAAAGGGAAAAAACCCCACATCAAAAGACGTGCCATGGGTGGGGGTGTGCGGGGCGCCGGGCTGATCCGTAGGGATGAGGTGGTTGGGATTGTGCCAGATTACTCTGTGTGCCAGGAGGGAATGGGGCTGCCCCATGGCACCAGCCCAGCCTGGGGGGAGCAAGGGACAGCTGTGTGTCCTTGTGGCTGGTCCTCTTCCAGCCCTGTCTGCTGGGATCAGCTCTGAGGGCTGAGGCTGGGATAGATTTCATGGAAGAAATTCTTGGCTGTGAATGTGGGGAGGCCCTGGCACAGGTTACCCAGAGAAGCTGTGGCTGCCCCATCCCTGGAAATGTCCAAGGCCAGGTTGGACGGGGCTTGGAGCAACCTGGGCTAGTAGAAGGTGTCCCTGCCCATGGAGTTGGAATGAGATGAGCTTATAGGTCCCTCCCAACCCAAACCAGTCTGGGATTCCATGACTATGACTCTGGCTCTGATGGGTGGTGGGATGAGGAGGATGGAGCTGTCCTGCCCCGCTGCCAGCCCGGTGTGAGCCCCACGGAGGCTCAGGTTGCTTTGTACTGGCTCAGGTGTTGCGAGGAGGGCAAGCAGGCTCAGTGAGGTGCCCACTCCATGTCAACCCCTGCTTGGCTCCGTCCTTGGCACCCCCAGACGGTGCCTTGGTCCCCCCCAGTCCTCCCCGCTCGGCGTCACGTCGCGCTCCGCGGCTCCCCAGGTGCCGGGAGCACTCGGAATTTCAATTCCGTGTTTGCTTTTTATGAAGGGGATGGAGCCTTGTCTCAGGAATACTAATGGCTCCGGCGGTG